TTCTATTTCAACTTTGCCAAATAGGGTAGTGTAACTTCTAAAATTTTCGTTTTTGATTCCAATGGTTTCAAACACTTTTTCTTAGTGTTCCCCTGCACAAAACACCTTTTAAACTCATTAAAATCATCAAATCACATTGAAACAAACTCTTACCCCAATAACACAAAGTGGCCGAATAGTATGTCTAATTACCCTAACTTGGTTTTCTTCTAAAAATCAATCTAAATACCATTTAAACATGATAATTCCAACTCATTTTCAAGGCTTCTATCCTTCCCTAAGTCATGCTCTTCTTGACCGAAAATGGATAGCACCATAACACTTAAATTTTAACCAAAAAAAGCTTTAAACTTAACCAAAATCAAGCTCAAACTTACCTCAATTAATCCTTGATCAAAACTTGGTGTTTCTCCCTTCAAATGCACTATCTAAGGCTTACTTCTAAGCTCAAAAATTTAGTTTGGCAGCACCTCCCCTCTTTTGTCAATTTTTAGCCAATTTAGTGTAATTAGCGGGTATTTATAAAGCACAAAATCTGACTCCCCCTCCATTTTGGCGTGTTATGCTGCCACTTAAGATGCCATGTGGCTACCATCACATGCCTCCAAATTTCTAATCTTGCCATGTGTTCTTATTCAAGAACATTCCATTGATTTTTTAGGTAAAAATTGGGCTTAAATCCATTTAAATGTTAAAATTCCCTCATCAGTTTCAGAACCCTAACTCGATAACCGTTACCCCTGTTTTCTAGCAATGGTCAAAATCTCACCTATTCCTTTAAATTTATCACAAAACTTCATCCAAAAATACCTTCTGAGCTCTTTTGATCACTCTAAACCCATCCTATCTTACACAGAAATGTCCTAAGGTAGACAACCTGGTTCAAGTCAATAAGAGAGCTGACATCTCTCTATATTTCATTGATTCTAGAATGATTTTCATGGTATTATATGTTTAATTTTGGATTTAATGGTGATAAAATACTACTAATTGCTTGGAAGGAGTGTTTTGTAATTTCATGAGAATTCAGGTCCAGAAATCAAAGAAACAAACACTCAAGGACTTGGTATGCAAAAGTGGCAAGACTCTCTGTGAAAAGTGTCACGGCGAATTTGAAAAGCCACGGCCGATTTGGCTCAACAGGTAGCTCATAGTCACTAATCTAAACGACACAGTTTTGGATGTGTGCCACGGTGGATGATCATAGGTGCCGCGACAGATGACGAAAATTAGCAATTTGAACCAGAAGGCGGTGCGCGACAGAATCTGGGAGGGAATAGAACTGGATCTTGGAGCTCTATTTTGGTTAGCACGCGGATCCTGAACTGATTTTCAGTTGGGAGGCGTTAATTACAAGGAAGAAAAAGCATTTAGGGGAGAATTGAGTTTTGAGATTGAGTTTTTAGTTTTTCATCTCCATCGCTCTGCATTTTTGGGTCTTTTCTGGAATCCTCCGTCCAGATCATCCATTTCCCAACCATCACCGTTGCTGTAATGAAGTTCCTATCCTCCAACTTGAGTCTTTCATCCTCCATGTCCAACTAAGCTTCAAGGATTTCTAGGAGTTATAACGGAGCCTGAGCCATGGTTAAACAGGGAAGAGTTTAGAGTTTATAGGTGCTTAATTTCGGTAACATTTTGATTGTGTTGTCAATCTTTGTTTCTGGATTCAGACTCCTCTCTATCCATTTCTGTGAGTTGAGATTTGGTTAATTGTATTCAGAAGTTATCTTCTTGATTTAGAGTAATGGTGTATGATTCTTTAGCTAGGTCTAGTTATGGATTTATACATTGTGATTGAATTCTTGAGAAGTATTGGTTAATATTTCTTTGGAAGTGGCTGAATCTCCATTTAATCAATCTCACCTCATCAGAAATTAATTCAATTAAAGCTCTTAAATTCTGATTGATGCAAGAAAGGCAGTGAGGCAAAGTTATACCTCCTAGGAATCGTTCATCTCATTGATTTTTAATCTAAAAACATTCTCTTTTCTGAATTTTGATTTTAGTAGCATTTGATTACAGTCTTAGAAATGATTTCATCTCAGTTGCCAATGCATTCACCTGATTGGAAGTCACTTTCAGTCACAGAGGCTGCAGTACCTTTTCTCCCTCAGCTTTTAGTAACTTTAGGTCACAAAGGTTGCGGCGCCTCAAGTCAAAGGCTACCGTGCCTAGACCTGATTCTTACTTTTGCTGTTTTAGTTCAATTCTCTTAGGTGGCTTTGGTGCATGACCAGGGACAAAACATTTTATCCATTGGATAGGGAGATAAATAAAACACTTAGACTGTTGAAAAAGAATAAAAATTTTGACACAATCACAAGCATGCACCCTTACTCACCTCCTTCATCTAGTGTTAGTAAGTCAATTGAACCTATACTTGATTCTGAATCTGATTTGGGTCAATTCTATGACAATCATTTTGTAATGGAAGGACAAGAGAATCCAGCTCCTAAAAAAGGGCAGAATATTGGTCAAAATAGGGTTAATACTAACCTAAATGATACTGGCTATAGACTTCCATAAAGATCCCCTAATAGGCAGCATCAAGATGAGCAAGAAGCTGAGAACATATAGTACCATGTTCCTAGGAACCCTGATGATGATAATAGGAGTATTAGGGAATTGAATAACTCAACTATTAATTGTATACCTAGAGGGTTTCATGCTCATGATCTTGGTTTTGAGATAAAAGGTGGTTTGATCAGTACCTTACCCAAATTTTATGGACTTGCAAGTAATGATACATATCAGCATTTGGACTTGATGTATATAGTTTGTGCAACTATGAAGCCACCCAGAGCTTTTTTAGAAGATGTATTAAGAAGTGTTTTCCACTTTACACTTGAGGGAAATGCTAGACAATAGTTAACCACCCTTCCTCAACATTACTCAACTCTAACATGGAAGCAACTCAAGAAAGCCTTCTTAGATAAGTATTTCCCAGCTTCAAAAACTTCAAGGCTTAGGAAGGAAATCTATGGAGTATCTCAGCAAGACCAAGAGTCTCTCTATGACTATTGGACTAGGTTTTTAGCTTTATTGAGCAAGTGCCCCAACCAAAAATGTTTAAAATCAAACCTAGTACAATACTTTTATGAAGTATTGTTAGTGTCTTATAAGGAGACTATTGATGTTGTTGCACATGGATCAATCCTAGAGCTCACTCCTAATAGTGCCTGGAGTCTATTAGAGAGGATGAAGGGAATTGAAAAATGCGCAACAGAAATAAATTAAAAAAAAAAAACTCAATCCCTTGCCCGGATCTACCGATCGTGTTTAAGTCAAGTAGTAAAAAGCATTACCTTCAGTGTTTGATTTCTTGGTGGCTCAGTGATTTCGCCATTCAGGATGCCTCTGCTCGCCTCCTTTTATCGTTCAAAGTCGATAACTCCGGTCAACTTCCTCTACCGGTATCCACACGAATAGCTCTCAATCTCGAACGACGTGCTAGCGTCTTTGTCCGTCTAGGGTTTTTAAAGAATCCGTCCTCCCTTCTCTCCTTTTGGCCGTCTCTTATCTGCAAGTGCTTTCACTCTCACACCCAAAACCCTAACTCCTCATATCAAATATATAGGATGCTATAGGTTTTATGAATGATATTTAATTTCGAAATTAATCTTAAATTAATTCCGAAATTAATACAATATCAAATATTGCCTAATCAGATAAGAGAACAATTAAATAAATATGGTTTATATTAAATCCGTCTCACAAATTTAATTCACCTATTTATTTGATTCAAAACAAAGATATGACGGAATTAATTTATATAGATTTAATTTATCCTTATAAATTAAATCTAACAATTAATATCTCTTATATTTATATAATATGTATATATATACGAATTTATATATATATATATACACGTCCACCCTATATTATTCATTGAATCTGGACATATCTTAGATTCAATGAATCTGGACATCATAACTCGTGTTGGGCTATTTTGTGTGCGACCCTATAGGCCCATATGAAGTTGGTAGTGGGCCATTAACTATAATGACTCACAAGTCGTAAGCGGTCTCTAGCAAGACATCACAACTACCCAAATCATATGAGGATCGTTGAACGATGTAACCTTTCATACAACCATATCGCGTCCCTTTTGTCACACGACATTTTGGTCATGGATGAGGCATGGAGAACGTCATCCTCCTATTTATGACCGTTACTTTCTCGATCCCTGAGTAGTCTGAGTATAGAAATAGAACTATCTTTCCATTATAGTATGGCCATACATTTCTTAGACTCACTCATTGAGGGGCCCAGTAATATCTCTCTATGAATGTGAGGGACAAATTCCATCTTGACCATTCACATTCCTCCGCATGAAAAACCACTAAGCCTGAACATAGTCTTTATGATCACTCGGTCAAAAGTGACTTTTGACTAGGTCAAAGCTAAGCGTTTCTCATGTAGGAATCCATAATGATCTCAGGTCAGAGGGCACAGTGACATGGTTTATATATGAGAGAAGCTTATGACTTAACCCATGCAGCTCTCTCATAGCGGGTCGGTCCAACACCTTGTACTCTTACATGTGCCTATGACTTTAATTTATATCTCTATATATCTTTAAAGTCATACTGGTCTTATTTCATCTCTGCTCCCACATAGATGACCGACCAGGGACATTTAGGATAAACCGTGAGTTATCCAAGGATAGTCATCACAGTAAACATGCAAATAATATAATTAATAAATTCATAAATCAACAATGTTCATAGCAATATGATTGGCCCCTAGGGCATAATTTCCAACAGAGGATGGCCAACAACAATCAATAGTACTACACAAGAGAATCTCAAAGAGGGCAAGTGTCTTCTGCAAACCCTTTACAAGATAGTTTGCTGGAGAGATTGTTGCATATCACCGAAAAGATGAACAAAAGAGTGAAAAATTTAGAAAAGCAAAGAAATATGAAGAATTATAGTGTTGTCAACTACTTACAAGCATTAGTTGGACCATTATGTGAACATTGTGCCTCAACCATGCATATGAGTGATGATTGCCCAAGTCACTATGAAGAAGTTTCTGCTATGTATCAAGGCAGACAAGGACAATACTCACAGAGGAACCCATATTCCTCAACTTATAATGAGGGTTGGAGTGATCACCCTAATTTGAGGTGGAAGACCAATGATGATAGGCAATTAACTTCACAACAGAAATTTCAGAATCAAAGGCCATCTTTCGAGTCAAATTCAAGAGTCATAGTTCCTATTCAGAATACTCTTTCTTCAAACGATGGTATTGTTGAGTTGCTTAAAGGTATGAAAGAAGGAATGAGTGATTTGGGTGCAAGGATTGAAAGCACTGTAGCTTCTTCTAATTCAAAACTTATTGCCATAGAATGTAAGTTTGATAGCAAGTTTGAACAATGGGAAAATAAAACAAACAATCTTTCTGGCTATGTCACTCAACTAGCTAACTCATTAAGTGAGGTGCAAGCTAAAATTGGAGGGAATTTACCCTCCAACACTATGACAAATCCAAAGTCTCCGAATGTAATATCCTTAAGGAGTGGGAAGCAGGTAGGGGCTAGTGAGAAGAAACTAAGATTTACAAAAGAATGTTGTCACAAGGAATCAGATTCTAGTTCAGAAAAAGATTCTGCACCTATTGTGCAATCTGAAAGTGGAAAAGAGAGGACACTCTTATAGCAAAAGAAAACCTCTCATACACATTCTGGAGATAAGGAAGAAGCTGAATCTTCCCAGGTGCAAGAGGAGAACATAGGAGTCATAAGCAACAAGAATCCAACACATATTTCTCAAATCATCAAGCAGAAAGGGAAGGAGGTAAAAATTTTTGATTTACCATTTCCTAATTCATTTCTAGTATCTGGAAAGTTATCTAATGATCAACTTAAGAAGGATGCTATGAATTTGTTTGGCAAACTTGCTGTGAATGTTCCTTTACTTGATTTCTTGAAAGGAGTACTTAAATACATGAGGTTTCTAAAAGAATTATGCACAAACAAGAAGAAATGTAAACCTAATGAGAAAGTGCAATTGGGCTCTAATGTTTCTGCCATTTTTAAACCTCAACTACCTATTAAGTGTGCTGATCTTGGATCTTTCACAATACCTTGCACTGTTGGTCCATTGAATATTACTAATGCTCTTTTGGACTTAAGAGCTGCAATTAATGTGATGCCTATTTCTTTATACACATCTTTAGGCATTCAAACTATTAAAAGCACTAGCATGTTAATAAAACTTGCTGATAGGACCATTAGGAAGCCAAAAGGGTTGTTGGAAGATGTCTTGGTGAATGTCAAGGACTTGGTTATCCCTGCAGATTTTTATGTTTTGGATATGGATACCCTACCCCATGTTCAAGAAACACTGGTTTTGGGTAGACCATTTCTTAGGACTACTAATACAGTGTAAGCTTGAAAGATGGATACATAACCATGGAAGTAGGGGATAAGAAAATTCAATTTGATGTTTATGAAGTAATGAAACATCCCTGTGAAGATTATTCACTTTTGGGTGTCAATGCTATTGATTGTTTGATTGATGAGGCTGTGGAAGAATATGAATCCTCTTTGCATAAATTAAATGAAGAAGAAACTTTGGATATTGGTTTTTCTTTTCTTGATGTCAATTCTCTTTTCTGTCTTGATTCATTTTTGGATGATAATGATGACGTGTGTAGTATTGACTCTTTGACAGTTGATAGCTCACTTTCCACTTTGTCATCTTTTTCTTTTGATCTCTCTTCTATTAATGATGAGGTATTTTCTCATGCATCAAGCGAAGAGCTTGGAAAGGATTTTGTGTCTGATTTTACAGAAGTGAAAAAGCTAGCTCAAGGTATATTGAACAAGGAAAGGGAAGAAAACATAGCTTTTGCTCTAGAATTTATACTTCTTCTATTCCACTTCATTTTAATTGTGCTAATTCTTTGCACACTATACGATATCTTGCTAATTTCTTTTCTAGCCTTTCTACAGAGGTGGACCAAAGAAAGAAAAGTCAAGGTGAGCAACAACAAGTAGCTAATTCTTTCATAGCAATAAGGGGAAAGGATATGCTCGACTCTACAATTCGAGATAGGGAGTTTTCTTGTAATCATGTATATTCCCCATGCATATCTTCAGCATGTCTAGCAGCTTTGGAGCTTAAGGAATTAGTACCTTCTGTCATTAAACCACCAGAGTTGGAACTTAAACCATTGCCTTCTCATTTGAAATATGCATATCTAGCTGAAAACGATAAATTGCCTGTTATCATAGCTAGCTCCTTATATGATATTGAGGAGAAGAAATTACTCACTATTTTGAAAAGAAATAAGAAAGCAATAGGCTGGTCTATGGCTGATATTCCTGGTATTACCCCCTCCATTTATACACATAAAATTTTACTTCATGAGGGAGCAAAACCAGTGAGACAACCACAGCGTAGACTTAATCCACTCATCTTAGATGTCATGAAAAAGGAAGTGAGTAAACTTTTGAGTGCTAGAATTATATATCCAATTTCAGATAGTGAGTGGGTTAGCCCTGTGCAAGTGGTTCCTAAGAAAAGTGGTATTACTGTTGTTAAAAATGAAAAGAATGAATTAATTCCAACAAGGGTCCAAAACTCATGGAGGGTATGCATTGATTACATGAAATTGAATGATGCTACACGTAAAGATCACTTTCCTCTACCTTTTATTGATCAAATGCTTGAAAGACTAGTTGGAAGAACTAATTCCTGCTTTCCAGATGGTTTTTCAAGGTATTTCCAGATTCCTATTGCTTCGGAAGACCAAGACAAGACCACATTCACTTGTCCATTTGGAACATTTGCCTACAGGAGGATGCCTTTTGGGCTATGCAATGCCCCAAGTACTTTTCAAAGGGCTATGATGTCCATTTTTAGTGAATTTCTAGGCTCATCTATGGAAGTGTTTGTGGATAATTTTACTGTGTATGGTGACACATTTGATGATTGTTTGGAAAGTCTAGATCGGGTTTTATCTCGGTACATTGATAGGAATTTGATTTTGAATTTTGAAAAATGCCATTTTATGGTTAACAATGGAATTGTCTTGGGTCATCTAGTCTCTAGAAAAGGAATTGAAGTAGACAAAGCTAAAATTGAAGTTATTGCTTCTTTGCCCTATCCAACTAACTTGAAAGAACTTAGGTCATTCCTTGGACATGCTGGTTTCTATCAAAGATTTGTGAAAGATTTCAGCAAAATAGCAAACCCTCTTTCTAGGCTCATGCAAAAGGATGTGGCATTTGTTTTTGATGATGCTTGCAAAAAGGCTTTTGATTCATTAAAGAGCATGCTTGTTTCTCCACCTATACTTTCTGCACCTGATTGGAAATTAGATTTTGAACTTGCTTGTGATGCATCTCATACTTCTATTAGAGCTGTGTTAGGTCAGAAAGTAAATAAGCTGTCTCAAGTCATTACTTATGCATCAAAACCCTTGACAATGCACAAATTAATTACACAACCACTGAAAAGGAACTTTATGCTATTGTATTTGCTTTAGACAAATTTAGACCTTACCTTCTTGCATCAAAAGTGGTTGTCTTTACTGACCATGCTGCTGTCAAGTTTTTGTTTGGCAAGCCACACACTAAGCCTAGACTTTTAAGATGGGTTTTCCTTCTGCAAGAGTTTGACATAGAGATCAAAGACCGAAGTGGAGTTGAAAACCATGTTACAGACCATTTGAGTCGATTACCAATAGGAACTAAGGGAGTTTCTGACCCTAATCTGATTTGTGATGAATTTCCAACTGCTATTCTTTGTTCTATAGCTTCTCATGATCCATGGTTTGCAAACATGGTTAATTTTCTAGCTACTGGTTTAATCCCTGCTACATTGTCTCATTTTCAGACTTAGAAGCTCAAAATTGAAGCCAAGTATTACATTTGGGAACCACCTCACTTATGGAGGATGTGTAATGACCAGTTGATTAGGCGTTGTGTTCCAAATGAAGAAATTCAAGGTATCTTGGTGGCATGCCATTCTCATGCTTGTGGAGGCCATTTTAGTGCTAAGAAAACTTCAAGGAAGATTTTAGAATCTGGATTTTATTGGCCTACCCTCTTTAAGGATGCTTATGAGTTTTGTAAGAGTTGTGACAAGTGCCAAAGGTTTGGAGGTAATACTAAGAGGAATGAGATGCCTCAATATCCTATTCTCTTTTGTGAAATCTTTGATGTATGGGGTATAGATTTCATGGGTCTATTCCCACCATCCTCTGGAAATCATTATATTCTCTTGGCTGTGGATTATGTTTCAAGATGGATCGAAGCTATTCCCACAAAGAAAGATGATGCAGTCACAATTTCAAAATTCATAAAGTCACATATCTTCACAAGATTTGGAATCCCTAAGGCTATGATAAGTGACCGTGAGACTCACTTTTGCAATAAGCTCTTAAATGGATTGTTCTCTCAGTTTGGAGTTACTCACAAGATGTCCACAGCTTATCACCCCCAAACTAATGGTCAGACAGAGGTTTCCAATAGAGAAATTAAACAGATTTTAAGGAAGATAGTTAAACCATCAAGAAGGGACTGGAGCATTAAATTGGAAGAAGCTCTGTGGGCCTACAGGACTGCATACAGGACACCCATAGGAATGTCACCTATAGGGTAGTTTATGGAAAACCTTGCCATCTCCTGGTTGAACTAGAGCACAAGGTCTATTGGGCAATTAAAGCATGTAATTTGGATTTTGAAGCTACTATAATGGAGAGGAAATTGCAACTGCAAGAGCTAGAAGAAATTCGAATGGAAGCATATGAGAGCTCTAGAACCTATAAGGAGAAGAGTAAAATCATTCATGACAAGGGAATTATGAGGAAACAATTTCATATGGGTGATAAGGTCCTATTATTCAAGGCTAAGTGCAAGTTTAAACATGGAAAATTAAAAACCAAGTGGGATGGGGCTTATGTAGTCACCAAAGTACATCTTTTTGGAATGGTTGAATTAATAGATGAAAAAAGTGGCCAAAGTCTAAAAGTTGATGGTCACTTACTCAAGTTGTATCATGAGCACTTCCACCCCCATGAGGCTATAGGTTGTTTCTTCCACCTTATCTCATGCACTTTTATTTGCATATTTGAACTTGTTAAGAGAATAAGTGTGGGGGAAACCCTTCTCTATTAGCTTAGGAAAATCTTTGTTCGTTTGTTTTCTTTTAGTTGGTTTTTCCTTGTTTGCACAGCTCATTGGTTTTGTATTAAGGACAATACTTTGTATAAGTGTGGGGGAGATAAGTATTGCTGATGGCTTAGTTAGATGGTGATTGTTTTGATATTTGAGTTGTGATTGAAGTAGTTAAGCCATGTTTTGTAGCTGAACATGTGATTTAATTCAAAGGTTTTTGGTTCTTAATAATGCATTGCATGTTCCTGTGATTTAAAGCTGTATTTGTTAGGATTTGAATGATGATTTTTGTTGGAACATTCGGTTCTGTGAAAAGCGCCGTGGCCCTCTGAGTAATCTGCCGCAGCGCTTGATGGAAGTTCGGTTATGTGAAAAGCGTCGCGGCCTATTTTGAAAGGCGCTGCAGAGCCTGTTCCTGAATGAAGGTGAACACCTCCTTTTTGATGCTAAAGTGTCACTGAGTAATTGTATTGTGCTGGTTTAGAACCTTTTTAAGGAGAGAAAATTGGATTTGCTCACCTAACACTTTGTTTGTTCAAAAACCTTTTTGAGAATCAATTCATAACCCTTGATGTATTCTTGCAAGTTGGAAATCCATTTTGCAATCATATCAGAATCTATGCCTGGTTGATATTATTCTTGTTACAAACCTTTACCATGGGACTGATTTTGGTTGCAATTAAGTTAGTGACTAGATATGATTCAATTAAAGTGGATGAGAGAAAACCCACATGGAAGAAATTTGAGCCTATATGTTCTGAATTTGTGTGCATACTCTCCAGTCCTATGATCCTCTAGAAGTTGTCCTAATTCTTCATTGAGACTGCATTTTGATATGAGCAAGATGCATATGATAGAGGCATTTTATTCTAAACCCATTCTGACCTAAACACAAACCCTTTTATGTTTAACCTTTGTTCACCCCTTTGAGCCTTCACTTTCATTTCATTCATTGTTTTGTAGCAAGTGTTTTGTGTGAGTTATATTTGGTTTTTTCACTTTGAAAAGTGCATCATGAATGTCTATATCTTTGTCTTCTTGGGTTTGGGTGCCAAAAAAAAAAGTGGAAAAGGGCAATAAGAAGAAAATATATAAAAAAAAAAAAGAAAAAAAATGAGAGAAGAAGAAGAAAAGAAGTTGTGATAAAAATTTTTTTTTGAAATAAGGCATTCCATGGTGGTTTGAAGAGCAAGGATTTTTTGTTCCAAAAGTTTAAATCTGCACATTGGTGTCTTTTCAAGATTATACTTTAGCTTACTCTGAGTTGACATTTCACTACTCATGCATTTCACTTGTTAGTTCATTCATTCCATTTTAGCCTTTTCCAACATTACAACCTTAAGAAAGACCTCTTTATGCATTGAACTCATATGGTACGGTGGTGGAGATGTCGAGAATTTTGACAAGCTTATGGTAAGACATAGACTAGTAGAGAGGAGAGAAAATTTAAGCCCTGGTAAGTAGAGAGAAACACTTTAATCTCAGAGTCTCTTATTTCACTTGTAATGATTGAGCTATGTTTAGCATTAATTTTCTTGTCATTAATTGAAAGTTTTATGGGTTGGCTTGCTCAACAAATAATACAACTAGTGTATGGATTTGATTTTGATTTTGATTGCACTTGGATTGGCATGTGTTTTGGGAAGTGAATTGGTGATTATTTGCCCGGAGTGCAAAGTGCTAGGGTGGGGGAATTTGATATCTCTATATTTCATTGATTCTAGAATGATTTTCATGGTATTATATGTTTAATTTTGGATTTAATGGTGATGAAATACTACTAATTGCTTAGAAGGGGTGTTTTGTAATTTCATGAGAATTCAGGTCCAAAAATCAAAGAAACAAACACTCAGGGACTTAGTATGCAAAAGTGGCAAGACTCTCTATGAAAAGCATCACGGTGGATTTAAAAAGCGCCACGGCAGATTTGGCTCAATAGGCAGCTCAGAGTCACTAATCTAAACGATGCAGTTTTGGATGTGCGCCATGGCCGATGATCATAGGCGCCACGGCGGATGACAGAAATCAGTAATTTGAACCAGAAGGCGCACGACAGAATCTGGGACGAAATGGAACTGGATCTTGGAGCTCCAGTACGTGGATCCTAAACTGATTTTTAGTTGGGAGGCATTAGTTACAAGGGAGAAAAAGCATTTAGGGGAGGATTGAGTTTTGAGATTGAGTTTTTAGTTTTTCATCTCCATCGCTTTGTATTTTTGGGTCTTTTCTAGAATCCTCCATCCAGATCATCCATTTCCCAACCATTACCGTTGCTGCAATGAAGTTCCTATCCTCCAACTTGAGTCTTTCATTCTCCATGTCCAACTAAGCTTTAAGGATTTCTAGGAGTTATAATGGAGCCTGAGCCATGGTTAAATAGGGAAGAGTTTAGAGTTTATGGGTGTTTAATTTTAGTAACATTTTGATTGTGTTGTCAATCTTTGTTTCTGGATTCAGACTCCTCTCTATCCATTTCTGTGAGTGAGATTTGGTTAATTATATTCAGAAGTTACTTCTTGATTTAGAGTAATGATGTATGATTTTTTAGCTAGGTCTAATTATGGATTTATACATTGTGGTTGAATTCTGAGTAGTATGGGTTAATATTTCTTT